GTTTCTTCTTCAAGCTCTTGAAATAATTAGAACCGTTCAGGGGATACAAGTTTATTTTACACAAAATGTATTTTTTCCCACTGGAAAAATTGCAACACTGGGGGGTAAACCCGCCTCTGTGGGAAAATGCAGCATGCGGCACATAGGGAGCCGCCAGGTCACGCCATGAACGGGCAGGAGAGAGACACGTCTACCACTGTGTCCTAGCATCTGGCTGTAAGGGGACTCTCTCCAACAGACAGTGAGTCGCTACATTATATTTTCAAAGCCTGGTCTCCAAAATAGAGCAGGAAAGAACAGGCACCCTCTGACTTCCTCAGCTTCCAGGGCGCCCGGGAAGCAACTTCCACTGTCCTGCTCAGCCAAGGAGGCAGGGAGGGAAGGGAGAGAGGGAAGGAGGGGAGGGACGAGGGGAGGGAGGAAGCGAGGGAGCGGGGGGCGCACGCACCTCCACCAGCCGCCAGGCTTCGCTGATGACCGCGTACTGCAGGCGGTTCAGGGCGAAGCCGTCCACCTCCTTCTGCAGGCGCACCGGGCACTGCCCGATCTTCCTCATCAGGGCGTGGGTTCTCTCCACTGTGGCAGGGGCCGTCTCCGGGTGTGGGACCAGCTCGACCAGAGGGATGTAGTATGGTGGATTCACCTTAGGAGGGGGAGAGAAGCAGGGTGTCAAGGAGACGGCACCGGAGTTTGGGGTGTTGCTCTGGCCGACTCTGCTCACATATCTCGAACGGCCACGTGGGGCAAATGCATCTTTGGAAAGGCCCCTTTAGTTTCAGCATCCAACGACAAGAAACTTAAGAGATGTATGTGCAAAGAAGAAGAAACAAGAGAACCTGAGCAAAGAATTGTGTGGTTTTCTTTTTTTAAAGAAAACAAATGTAACATATAGGGTTGGGATCTGGAGGTCAGCTCACCATCCTATGTGTTTACGGCTAATCTCCACCCCCCTGGCCTCCCCAGCAGGGAAGGATTCTCTGCTGCCTCGCAGCTACCTCCCGCTTACCACCCTCCAGAACCACCCCTGCCCACTGTCGCCACCGCAGGCCCTGACGGTCCTCCGTGTCGCTGTCAGACGTTATTAATTGCATCTTCCCCAAACTTGGTATTTCCTGAATCCCTCTCCACGCTGCACCTGAAACGTCTGCTTCCCTAATCTAACGCGGCCGTCTTGCTCCGGAAATAACAGCTCAGCAGCCTCCACGCCGTGATGTGTGGGAAGCGGGCAGCGGCCGTCCAGGGCGAGCAGGCCCCGAGGGAGGCTGCCCAGCCCCAGATGCGACCTTTCTGCCTTGGCTTCCTTGGTTCACTCTGAGAAGCTGTTCTTGGAGATTTCCACGGAGCTTCCAAACGCCCAAGGAAAACGGTGCTCGGTAGAGCCCGCCTGGCCTCACCACTGAGCCAAATGTACCGCGGCAAACTGGCCCCCAAATGATGCTTTTCAATGGCTTTTCCTCCATACGTGGGTCGTTGGTAGGATGTCACATGTGCTACATGAAACAGCCATTAGCAAGAAGCGCCCACGTGAAGATGTCTCCACAGGAGGGGAAAGAGCGACACAGGCTGCTGCCAGGGAGCGGCATCTGGTCTACACAGGGCGCTTCTGTCCCCAGCCGCGCGGGCACTCGCTCAGCCCCCTCGGAAAGCAAGTGAGGATGGCACCTGTTTCCATGTAGAAATCAGGGTGGTGAGAACTGGAAGCGTGTCTGTCTCAGGTGGATCCTACCTCACGACAGAACAGGAATGCTGGGCCTGGGGTCTTTTCAGCACCACAAGCCTCACGGTGGCAACCGCAGACCGAGACGGGTAGTCAAAAAGCACTTTTATGTGCGACTCGCCAGTCGCCCCATCCCGGCCTTCTCTGCAGCCGTCCTCCGGCCCGCGCTTTGCCTGCGGGATCGTGCTCCCGGCCTGCCGCGGTGGCCCCGTCCGTGCCCGCTCCCCAGGCATCACCCTGCCAAGACGTGCCTGACAGGTCTCAGGCCCACATCTGTAACCGCACACTTGACACGCACCGCCGCACAGAGCCGCCTGGCGCGTGTCACCCTCGCGCTGCCGCACCCTGGCGGGCGTTCCTCTTCCCCGCTCCCGTCTCACATCCCCACACCCGAGTCAGCACCGAGAGAGGCGTTCTCGGCCCCTGCCTCCCTGATGTTCCACTGGTGACAAAGCCCAGTTAATTCTCCCCACATCTCTCACGAGACCCATTCCCGATGCCTCCCCTTAGCTCAGGGCCCCACTTTCCAACTTCCTTTCACCCCTCTTCATGGGCCTCCAGGGTCTTGCCCTCCCCCGCGCATCCCCACGCTGCCGCCAGAGCCATCCTCGGTGAGACAGGAGCCTGCCAGGATCCGTGGCGACAGGATACGGAATAGAGGTCGCCAGGGGCTGTGGGGAGGGAGGAGCGGGAGTTCGCGTTTAATGGGCAGAGATTGTGTCAGACGAGAAGAATTCTAGAGATGGACGGTGGTGATGGACGCACGACAACGTGAACGTGCTTGATGCCACCAAACTGTACACGTAAAAATGGTTAAGATGGCAAATTTTACGCAATGTATGTTTTTCCACAGTTAAAACTAAAGAAAATAAAACGCAGGGCCTTGATCATTCCCCCTCCAGCTCAAAACCCTGCAGTGACACCCCCCCACCATAAAAGGCACACAACTGAGACACAGGGCCATCTGCAGTCCACCCTCTGCACCTCCCAAAGGGACCTCCATGCACACCCCGCGTCCCCGTGCGAGCTGGGAGAGGAGTCCAGGCGTCTCTGGGCTGGGGCGGGGCCGTTCTGACCACAGCCGCTCGGCTTCTCAACTCGGGGCCCGTCTCGTCTCAGGCCCAGAGAAGGACCCTGACAGTGACGACAGGTGCCCCTTAAACTTCCCGCAGCAGAGAGGAGGGGAGGGGACAGAGAGGGGGCGAAGTGAGAGCCCTGTCAGAAAGGCCAAGGTCGGCTGCCCCCCACCTCCACCCCCTAAATGCTGGGGGCCCGGGGGCCTTCTACTGTGGGCCTGTGTGAGGAAGACTCAAACGCCAGAAATGGACAGCACACATTAAAGGAGACAATTTCTCCAAAGGCTCAGAGAGAAGGTCCTGGCCTTGCCCTCGAAGGAGGCCGGGTAGGGCAGGTTGGCCCAGGACGCTGAAGCCACAGCGCCCCGCCTCCGTAACCCCGAGGGCTCTGACATCTGCCGCACTCCGTCCTCTGCCAGGCGGTGCTGCTCAAACGGCAAGCCCCCAAAGCAAGACTCTACCCCCGACAGCAGCGCAAGTGGTTTCAGGGTCAGACGGGGTGAGTCAGGCACAGGCACGGAGCCCTGGGGGCGCGGCCTGGGCATGAAGCAGGCCGGGGCTCGGACTCAGCCCGCGACAGCTGCACCTGTCTGTGGGGTTCCCGCTGCAGATGGCCCCCGCCATGACCGAGACCGAGACCCCCACCAGCTCCCGGGACCGTCACCTCCCCCCCACAGATAAGGGAGAGAAAAAGTGCAGGAGCCTTTGCAAAGGGCGGCTGAACTACGAGCAGAGAACTGCTGCTCGGAGCGCTCACGCAGATCCTATGTGCAGACTCCGTGATCAAACACCGTTTTCAGACCCTCGTCGCCCAGCATGCGCCACCACCGCGCCGTCACCACAGAGCCCTGCATGTGGGAATTCTGTTGTCACCGCGCAGGGAGGCGAGGACAGGAAGCGTGTGCAGGACAGACAGGAGGGCTCTATTACAGCCTGTCCCGGGCCTTCAGTGATGGGTGCCCACGGTCCGTCCCCAGCCCTGGTCTAGGAAGCCCACCTGGACACCCCTCTGAACTCCCCGGGGCCGAGGCCATGTGCCCGCCTGGCCGTCCGTGCAGGGCGGAGGCAGCAGCGATCGTTGCCGACTGCTGAATATCCGCTTTTGCCAGGGCAGGAGCGGACGCCCGTCCTTCCTCCTGTTTCCTGTCCAGGCGAAGATCACTGATGACTGAAGCTCCTCACAGATGATGAGTGGTTCTTTTCTTTTTTTAGAGTCTGGCCTCTCCCCTAGAGGCCAGTGGCATGACCAAGAGGCAAGCCGCTCTAACCCAAAGGAAAGAAAGGATAAAATCCCAAGACTGTTAACTCCGGTTATTTAATCTGCTTCCGTTAAAGTCGGTTTTGGTTAAAAATAATTTATAACATAATGGAGAGATTAATTTTAAAAATAAGATCTGGACTTTATGCTGTTTGTCTGATTAAATAAGTGAAAGCAGGCAACACCGGGGTGGAGGAGAGTGGGAATGAGGGGGAGAAAGGTCACCGTTCAACCGTTACCGACTGTCCTACTGGCCAGAGGACTGGGCTGGGTGTGACAGAGAAGAAAGTGACTCAGGTGTCATCTCACCCACTGGGTAGTTTAAAGTTGAAGAGATGTGGCAAAGGTCTTGTCAAAGAACTCAGGAGGTGTATTCTGATTGATTTAGTTTTGTTTTGTTTTAAACTAGCTTAGAAGTAAAAACAGGTTAGAAATTGGGATGTTTCCGGCACGAGGCTCACACCTTCCACTGAAGCAATCAAGTAACCACCTAGTGAGGGCTCAGGGTTCTGAGAGTCCTGTCCATGGACGTGTCTATGTCATAGATGCAAAGACACAGCAGGCTTCATGGGACTTGGATATTGGGGGGCTTTCACTTAGGGTCCCTCCTGGTGCCAAGCTCACTTGTATTTGAGTGGTAAGTAAATGTGACTGGTTCTCTTCTGCGTTCTATGGGCCTCAGCCTCCTTATTTTATAACTGTTCCTGTTTCCATTATATTTAAGTACATGGCAAAACACCCGGAACCACACAGCCAGGTTCCTGGTAGTCCAAGCTGCCCCTTTTCTCAGCACATAAAACCCGGTAGCGTCCACACTTACTCTTCTCCACCGCCCTGAGCAAATCTGTTCCCTCCCCACTCTAAACTGCTCTTACTAAGCGAAACTTCCCTGACTGAGGGCAGGTCACTCGTGCTTGGAACACTACCTGCGTCCTGCTCCTCTGTGACCCACGTCCACACCAGAACAGACCGTCACGTCACCTCCACTAGCAGCGCTTGCACCGCATCACGTGGCCGCTCTGCGCCTGCACCGTCCCCATCCTTCAGAGCACCTCTCCTGAGTCTCCATAACCCGAGCATCGCCCAGCCTTCCCGCCTCTCCAACTCTCCCAGGTTCGTGTGCTCGTGCCTCCCTCGATTCTGCAGGCTCGAGCTTCTTCTTGGCCTGGGGTCTTTGCGTGTGCTCGCCCCCAACCTCTAACCCTCTCTTCCCCTCAGCAGCCCGGCCAGACGCTAGCCAGGCTGGCCCCAGCTTCACTGTGTCACCTCTCCCCGACCTGAACCTCTGATGACCCAGTGGTGCCAGGTGTGGCCACCGTCATATACTGTCATGTTTATCATGGCTCGAGCTAAGTCGGCTTTACCCGTCCCAACAGGCTGTCCTGGTTCTCCCAGATCACGCTGAGCTCACAGTTGGGACTCAAACATCTTCCCGAGTGATCCCTGGATCTCCTCCTTCATCCCCCTTCCCTCCCATCAGTACCTTAACCTCACAGAGACCCACTGGGCGCTGCCATTCCACTCGGAACTCACCGTCCAGTGGACCTCATCGAGTGCTCCCAGCGAGCGAGCCTGCATGGTTAGCGCAACAGATGGGTGGGAGGGACGACCAGGGGAAAAGGGGCTTCGGTCAGACCTACTGGCTCAGAATCTCGGGAGGGGACTCAGAATCTGCGTTTTAACACACCTGATGCTACTCTGAATTGTGCTCAGTAAACTTCACAGTACAAATGACATAGTGCAAGTGACATCTATAAAATCCTCCTCTACGTACACATTTTTAATGCAGCACTTTCACCTTCGTAGTGGAATTCCTTGGTTAGTCATCAGCCTCCTCAGCTACACGGTCAAGTTACTTAAGGGCAAAAGCCTCACAGCATTGCTCATTCTATCCCATTGTGCATTAGGTACACAGAAAAAACCCAGAATTTTTGGATAAATTCTTTTTAAAAATGCTGGCATTACACAACTCTGAAAATATACTAAGAATCATTGAATTATACAACTTCAACTGATGAATTATGTGGTGTGTGAATCTTATCTCAGTAAAACAATTCAAAATACTAGTGGGTTAGTCATATTTTATGGCCCCCAAACAAGATTCGGCGAAGTCCCCAGGTTTAGGACACTCACAGGATGAGCCACGAGGCACTGCTTCACGTGCGCCAAGCCCGTGAACAGCTTGGAGGGCAGGAGGCAAGAGCTGGAGCTGCTGAGGACAACACTGTCGTCAACGATGCGATCCAACTGCGCAAAGATCTCCTTCTTCAGCTCTAGGTTTTCTGGAACACATTCCTGAAAAAGAACACGATTAAATTACTACTTGTGATCACTGTATTCAGTCAGGTTCCAAGCAAAGCAGGTCTTGTTTGATTCATTACCAAAATGAACAAATTTGAAAATGATGGGGCTCAGGACATGTTACCGCAAAATATGGCACCGTGGCATTTGAGAAAACAGCTGAAGCAAGAAGGTCCCTCTGACGTTTTCCTGCTCTTCTCCCCTGGGGCAGGTCATATGACCCTCACTCCAGCGGTGCCCTCCCTATTCCCAGAGGAAAAAAACGTCCTTATCTCTGCAGACACAGCTTTGCGAAGTTCCCCCAGTTTATCGCCATTAGATCAGACCCCTTTATCCAACACACCTCTAAACAACTGCCCCTTCTTCAGACCTAAGCATAAAAATACATAGGTTCCCTGTGTCTTTGGGTCTCCGTGTCTGAAGGCTCCTGTCGTGTAAAACTTGTTAAATAGATCTGTGGGCTCTTCTCTTGTTAATCTGCTTTTTTGTTATAGGGGCCTCAGCCACGAACCTTTCAATAGATGAGGAACAGATTTTACTTTTTCTCCCCTAAAAAAACACCAGCAAAATTGAACAAGAAAAGGCTGCTGAAACATGAAAAATGTTGCTCTCTCTGGAGAGTAGGTGATGAATACCTGGGAGCTTGCTGTGCTTCCTAGTTCTGACTAGGTCTGAAGATTCTCATAGTAAAGTCTGCCAACCATCCGGGGGTGGATTCTGCAAACAACGCCCAGCAGCACCCCAGGCAAACGGCTACAGCATCAGCAATCCTCATCAGCATCACCCCCTTATCTGTCCCGACCATCAGATCAACCGCTCTTCAGGCAAAAATCTCATCCTCATGAAACGAACAAACGTGTTTCATCCGGAATTCCCTCCCACCTTTGGAGTCTCTAAAGTCTATTATTTTCTCCTGTTCTGTAGGTTGTCTATTTACTCTGTTGATTATTTCTTTTGCTATGCAGAAGCTTTTTAGTTTAATTAAGCCCCATTTGTTTATTTTTGTTTTGTTGCCAAAGGCTCCTTGAGAATCCATGTCTAATTGGAAGTCCTTTTGAAAAAGACCTTTGTTTCTAAAAATCTAAAATTACTTTAATAGGGGTAGGGGAAGAGGATAGAGAAGCAGACTTGGATTAAACACTGCAGATAACCACTGATCTGAAACTCTAATTACAAAGCTGGGGAGGGAGGGAGATGACATCTTCACACCCCAGCGCTGGCCCTCGGGTGAGGCGTGTTCCTGGGAACGTGAGGACGCAGAAGACACTGCCCTGCCGGATGGCAGGGGAAAGGAGGCTGTGGCTGGAGCTGCTCGGACACTGGGAACACTAGAGCTGTCCCTCCCTTCCTGCCACCTGCACCTCCGGGGATCACACCAGGGGTCGCTCCTACCCAAGGTGGGTCCCTGCTCACCTGGGGGCCACAGGTGATGCAGGAGAGGCGGCGCGGACTCCCAGCACTCCCTGGTGACTTAGGATAATGATTCTCCATGTGGCCTAGTACCACTCAATCAGAATCAGCCACGTGCTTGTTAAAAATGCAAATTCGCAGGCCCTTATCGCAGACCTACTGAATCAGAGTCCTTGGGGTGGGATCCAGGCATCTGCAATTTTAATAAGCATTCTGACGATTCCTTTCTGGCTAAAGTTTGAGAACCACTATTCTGAGGCATGTACCCAGCGTGTGGCTGTCGGTACTCAGCGTGCCGTGTTACCAAACGTGCCCGCGATCTCCTCTGCACCCTCATGTCAGCTTCCCCCCTCCCCCAGCTACTCAGGGACAAAACAGATGTGCCGTGATGGGAAAAATGGGAAGTAAATTAGCACCGTGGTCATTTCATGGTCTCTAACCACCGGGCCAATTTCACTAAAATGTTAAATTTACACGTAAGGTAGTGAAAATAGTATAAACACCAGCAGACAACCAGAAGCACGCACAAAGGGAAATTCAATGTTGAAGTACGTACGACTAGCAATTATATCAGAATCACCCCTCAGAAATAAAGAGATTATTTTCAAGTTTGGTTTAATAATACCTAATAGTTAAGAATATCTAACATATTGAAATCAGCTATGTAAATAGTAAGACACGTGAATTTCGCTTCTACGTCACCTACAAGATTAAGTTTTATTCTAAGGGTAGGGAGTCCGTTTTGTAATTTTTTATACTTTATAAAAATATAACCAAACCATGTGAAATTTTATTAAAAACAAAAGGTCATATAAACACCACATCTCAAAGACAAGAAAAAAAATGGAGTCATTTAAGAACTGTAAAGCCCATTGTGTTAAATTCCCTTATCAAAAGGGGAAGAGAGCTACAGTAGCTGGCCAGTTGTATGGAGTCATTCGCGGATCAGTTAAGTCTGCGGGCTGGGTTAAGTTTAAATGGAGCCTTGTAGCAAAGCCAGAGACTAAGAATGGTGCGGATTCTGTTCAAGCTAATAAAAGAGTCGTCATGAATAGCTTTATTGTGAGCCTGTCACGCAGATTCTCCCCTGAAATTCTATGCCTTCCTTCAGATCCTTTGATTATCAAAGAGGCAAGAAACCTTGAACCAGAGGAAATCCAAACCTGCTACAATTATGTAAGGGTTTTAATGGCTCATTTGCTTGAAGTTTTATTGCTGTTTTTAAGAGTAACCCAATTGTGTTGGATGAGCTCCGCAAGGGTTATAAGGCCTCTGTCCCTGTCACACCTGAGTTTATTTCCTTGCTATTCATTCGGATACCCCTGGTCTGAGAAAGGGAGTCTGACACACATCATCAGAACCCTCCTCACTTGCAGTTGATTACAAAGCTCACGGAGGCTGCAGTCATCCTCTCTGCCCTAAAGCGGCTGGGAAGAATGTCAAACAATGAGCCAACTGAGCCTTCGCTGCGCTTGCTCTCCCAACTACAGCGATGTCACCGGGCGGGGCCCACCCCATGCGCTCTCAACTCAACTCTGTCTTTCAGGGGCCCCAGCTGGAGACAGGTACCAAATGTGCAGCGTTAGCGAAAATCCTATCACTGCTGAGGGTAATCAGTTTGACTCTGCTTCATTAAACTTTGACAGCATCTTTCAAAGCACTGACTTTTGTTTACTTGTTGAGTTTTGTTTGTTTTGAGGTGAGAGGGAGATGTAGCACAAAATAAATATTCTCATGTGCAACCACCGCCAGGGAATGCCCAGATTTTGACAGACAATACAAAAATCTGGGGAGAAGTAAAGCACAACAAAACTTCCCGATTATCACAACTATTATAGCAAAAGTAGCTTCCTCTTAATAACTCTTACCGGCTGGGGCATATCAGTCAGTAGCTGAGAGGCAAAGCTAAGGTTGAACACTGTCTCTTTTCCCTTCCCTTCGGTATAACATAATTCTAACTTATTTTTTAAGTAGATTATTAATAAACTTTAGTGTTTTGTTAGTAGCAAAAGTTACCCATGAGTTAATCCAAGTCGTTAGGACTCTGTTTTGGAAAAGTGGCAGAGCCACAGCAAGTCAGCTCACGGGACAATTCCCAGGGAAAGGGGGTGCCCGGTAAGTCCTCACTTCCGAAGCTTTTCCTCTCACCATGCAACATACATTTGCCAACACGTATTTTCATGGTGAAAATAAAACATTGTTCAGGTTTTTCTAAAAATCAGTCCAAGCATTTTAAATAGGCACCCTGTTGCTAGAAAATCTGTGTTTGCTAGTGCACATAGCTGGAAACAATCTTCAATGTGGTTTCCAGAAAGAAAAACCAAATTAGAAGACTTCAGTACTTAGGGCATTTCAAGAAAAAGATGAGTTAGAATCCTACTGCAGTTATGGCACAAGGAAATTCACTCTCAGGTCGAAGATGGAGGTGATCTCTGTCATAAAGTCTGTTAGCATCAGGTACATCTCCTGCTTCCATCTAATTAATACCCCCCGTTTCTCTTCACTGCTTCTCTCAAGAGCACGAGAGCCTATCAGATTCATAACTGTTATGACTATACTTCTCAAGAGGTGGACACCAGAATTATCCAAAAAACAAATCTTGCTCTAGAAGAATTATAGTGTAGTATGAATGTATTAAGAAAAAAGGCAAAGAGTGTATCAGCTTTCAACACCACAGGCAATAAACTGCACTCTGCCCTCACCAGGGGCTCATTTTTTTCCTTAAAAATCAAGTTGTTTTTTTTTTAAAGCTTATTACAAATCCTAAACATATTTTACAATAACCTAGAACAAATTATACCAAATCGAGACAGACCTTTCCCAAGTCTTTACTTTCCAAAGTAAAAATCAGCACAGACTGTGTTTAGGAATGTGACTTCCTGGGGCTTAGGTGTTCCGGTTGCAGGATTACTGCTGTTTGCTTTGCAGACCAGTCCCTTCGCAGGGTGACCGCAGAGAACCCCGACCGGGCTAACGTGGCACGGGCAACAGTGGCTATGCTGCTCAGTGTCTATTCCCATCCTCATTCCAATGATTTTTCTTGTGTCTTTTACGAAATCATGTATTTAGAATTGGGCTAAAATGCTTGACATGAAAAATACAATAAAAATATTTCATTTAAGCCTGCAATTATCATATAGTTTTACTGCATTTCTAATATTTCTCATAAGGAAGAAGTGAGATTTTTAAATACACGTCTTTTTAAAGTGCTGGGAATAGCATGAAACATAAAATTGGAGAAAGAATCTCTAAGGTATAAAGAGTAAATTTTTAAGAAGAAAAATGGAAAATTAATAAGTTGCCCTGAAGGACACCAGTAACTCAGAGTAGCCGGCAACCCTGAGACCATTTATTATCAGTGAGGAATATCTTTAAATTGCAGTTAACACTCGAGATTGAGAGGGCTACATTTTCGTACAACCTTTTTTTCTGTCTCTAGATTGGACACACAATGAATTTCCACCAGTGACCTGTTTACAATGTGGCAATTGTCAAAGCAACAGAGAGCGAGGAGAG